ATGCATTATATAAAGGTACAATTCCCAATGAGAAATGTAATTGTGTTGTATACCTACAATGTACCAATAAAAGAATTTAATACAAAAAAAGAAAAGATGGAAAAGACATTAAATTATAGGATTCAGTACTATCTGTGGCATCTGGCATCTATTGGTTGTCTTGGACTTATCCCCTGTGGATGAGGGGACTATTGTGTTAGATCTTTAATAAGTGTTTGTGCACTAATTGTTAAGATTGCACTATTGTTAGAAGACAGTTGCTGATTTTCCATCCAAGTCTATAAGCCCAATGGCCATGCAAGTTTGCCAGAAATGGCTGGAGAAGTCTGATGGAGTCACAGCAACTCTTAAGAAATGGGAGTTTGTACAAAGATGGTTGGTTTATAATTTTTCAAGGGAAATACTTATTGACTATGCTGAGAAGCAGGTGTATTCCATTTAGGAATATTAGAATACCTGTCAAGTCTTAAAGCCAGAGTGAGGTGGAGAATCTTGAAGAAGAGTGCAGTGTGTTTAAGGATGATAACGTCCTTGGCTTCCATCAATGTGAGACTATGTGAACTTCTCTCATTTTAAGGAAGGAGCACAAAAAACAGAAATGATTCGTTCAAAATTTAGTAAAAATCAACCCTATGTTTAAACCTCAGGGAAATGAACAGTGAAGAACTAGAAATTGTTCAAAGCACTAGAATTTTTCTATTAGGTCAGATGAAAATCATGAGTTACAATTCAGAATGGAAAATGCAGGTTTTCGATCTTAATTTATCAGAAAGGCATTATGTGTTCACCTCCTGCCCTTCTTGTGGATGTCTTCTTAGCTAATCAGATTAGTCCTTATTTTATATACAACATTAACATGATTTTTTTGTAGAATTTAAAGTGCAGGCTTTTTAATATTAGATTTCAACTTTCTTAAGTACAATTTTTTAAAAAGAGCAAGTTTTGAATCCTTTTGTATTCCCTATGGTAATGTATTGAAGTTACTTTGCTTTTTACTTTTTCTATTCATGTATTTTTTTTCTTTTGGCGGTTTTTACTTCTGTTTACAGTTTTTGTTGATCAAATAGTAAGAAAATCTAGTAATTCTTTATTAATTTTAAACTGTATGAGTTTTAGCTCAATCTCCGCACCCCATTCTCAAAACTAAACATAGAATAGAGATGATAACAAATGGCCAAAGAACTTTGACCAAATTGGTGGCTAAACGAACACAGCGATATCGACGAATGTAATTTGAATTCCTTCAAGCTCTTGTTATAAATGTGGATTCACTACTGAAATACCATTTTGTATCAAAGAATATAAAAATTCAAATGCTTTTTTTTATCAGAAAAGTACAAATCTTCAGACATTTACAAAGATTTTCATAATATTAAAACTGAGTACTTACTAAGAAAAGTGCACCACTTTTGAAAGGTATATAATACTTCTATGAGATCCCTTAGGGATTCTTTCACCCCAGGAACTATTCCTTCTTTTAAAAGTTATATAAATGATGTTTGGAATGTTTCCTCCTTTTAAGAAAAAGAAATCAGATTGTTTTTAATAAGTATGGAGGAGCCTTTTCTGAAATGACTGTATTTGTTTCCTTGTTTATTTGCCTCACTAGAACACAAGCTCCTGGAGAACAGGGATGCTGCTTAAAAATTAGTATTCTCTGTGGTGAACCTTTTTGTTGCTAATTGGATGGTCAAGAATGATGGACATTCTAATACCATGGCAGTTTCCTTCATTTCCATGACCCCCAATGCTTTTGTTTCAAAAGTCAGCTTCCCTGGTGGGTGATGTGAAATCTCATTCTATGGTTTAGTCACCAGTGCATGGTGGAAGCCACAGGCCCAGCAGCTTGCTGAGTCATACCTTGTCACTAGAATTCTGCATGATATCCAAGAAATCCTGAATTGCATGTGTGGGAGGTGGTGAGATTTCTTTTTTGTTATTTTGAAAACACTCATTTTGGAAAACACTCTTTTCACTTCAGAACAAGTTGGGCACCATGCCCAAGGTGATAACGCCAGTGCCTGCAGGTCTGTACCTTTCAACCAGCGCTCCTGTTCTGAGCCGCTGTGTAGACTACCTCTCGTGTGTACTCCTACAATGCTACTCTGCTGTAGAAATTAAGGGTTCTCTCTCTAACATGCTTCAAACTTTCTTAAGCAAGATAATTCAATTCAATGAAAATTTCAAATATAAGCAATAGAAAATAGAATTCTTATTGCAAATTTCACTATGTTCACTAATTACCTTGGTTAGCTAATACTACAATCCCTAGATATAATAGACTTGACATTCATTAACTAAAAGTTGTGATCACTTAGTTTGAAGAAGAAAAAATATATATATTTTTAAAATCTGCCTATAATTTGAAAACTCCAGAAATCAGCTACCAGTAAAATTTTTCTTTCAGATGCTTTGTATTGCCCATAGATCCAAAGTTTAGTGATTCAACAAGATCTTGTCACAAAATTTAAAATAAGATGAGCCTGGAAATGTAACTAAGTGTGAAGGTCCAGGTTTGATCCTCAGCAGCCCTGCCCCTGCCCAAAGCTGGTTTTATAAATATATACAAGTGAGGTATCTCATGCACATTCAGGTTTTCTAAGTACAAAGGACAATCACAGCCTTGTCCGAGTTTGTGAGACAGAGATACAGAGCATATTTTTGCCTGTGTCAAGGTAAATCAGGCTGTGCTTTGTGGTGACACGGGATGTGTTCAGTTTCTGTCATAAGCGTATTCTGATGTTGGCAGTCGGACAAGGTTTGATTACTAAAAAAGACAAGACCCAAAATGACAGTGCTTGCCAACCTACAGGACAGTGACACAATATGGCAGCAACATTACATTAAGAACCATCTCCCGGCAAAGGATTGGGAGAGCCAGGCTGAGCTGCAGCAACACTTCCCTGCTAGGGCTACACAAAGGCACTTTTTCTGGGTTGAGAACCAGTGACTGATGCATAGGATGTTCAGAACCAGCAGACCTAAATGGATTCTTTGCCAGTCATTTCTTCCACTTTGTTGTTCATGCAGGCATCATCTTGCCTAGTAGGAAGGCTTTGGGGGATCTCACCTAGAGCCCCAGGTACAAGCTATTAGTCTCCCTTTACCAGGAAACAGTACCTAATCATTGGGCTCATGGATAGAGAGAACCATTGGTAGGCACGCCTTTGCCTGGCTAGGGCACTGTGCAGAGCATTCCATACTTTAGCAGAGCTGCTCAGCAATTCCAGGTCTTCTGGAATTAATCTTCATAATACAAGAATCAGTGGTCTTTTGGGATATTCATGTGGGCATAGCATATCAAATACTGTAAGTGCTGTAACTCTGTTTAGGTATGTAGTTCAATAAGCCACAGTGTGGTCAAATTTGCAAATATTTCTGTTTTAGAATCTTAAAAAATGAACTTGAAAGAGGGTTGTTTTGGTAATACTACATTTCCCCTCTAAAACTGCTGTATACTTCTCTCAATTTGTTATGTTTAACCTTTACTGTTTTCTTAAAATCAAATTTGAAGATTTCCTGAGGCAACACTGTAAAAGTGCCTTGAGTCTGTTGAGAGTGAATGACATAGTCTGTATTTCAGAACCTGCCCAGAGTTTCTAATTGTCTTTTTTCCCCTTCCTTCTCTGTTTCCAGATGACTCGGCTCCTAAGGAAGTCAGCAGGGTAAGTAACGTGACTATAATTTCTACTACTGCCACAGTATAGGAAATAAGAAATTCCTTTGTACATTTTCTCACTACTGTAACATGTTAAATTATTAGAAAAACAATGACAAAACATAAGTGTCTGCTTCAAAGAGTTACTGATTCATATGGAATAAAGTCAGTAGAGAGACATTTTGCCAATTGGAGACTGCAAGACTGAGCATAACTAACAGATGCAATTCTCTTGGCCTGCACATATTTATGGGGTTTTCTGCACCAGTGGCCAACATTTCCAAATGGGAGACTGTGTACAAAGATTGAGTTTCTGTCCTCCACTGAAAAACTGGAATGTAAAGGAGCACCAGCACAGCGCTCCAACACAGCAACGTGGGCTCTGACCGAGCAGAGGAAGCCACAGGTTGTCACAGCCCTCTACTCGGCCAGCTTTACTTACTACTTTACTTGTCTGGTTCCTGGCTTTCAATTCATGCACTTTGCTTTCAGGAGAACAAAAGACAGCTCATGTGGTAGAGGTGTAGCATTGCTCAGCAGTTTCAGAAATGTTAAATGTACTGTTTTCCTGACCTAGAGGATGATTAATGTTAATTTAAAGAGACTAGCAAACTTAAAAGATTGGTGGGATGAGTACTGAAAGCATTATCATACTGTTAAATACAGAATTACCTGTGTAAGTAATTTCATAAGAGAAAATTATCTTGTTCCCTCTGTACAGACCTTAAGTGTGGATTAAATATTGAAAATACTCAGTTTGAATTGTACCTGATACAACCAGATGCAAAAAAATTTGCTATTTTTTAACCTGGAGAACTGTTAATAGAATCACATATGCAGATATATTCTTTTATTTTTGATCATATGTTGAAGAAAATCTCTAAAGATGATGAGGGAGGGCCAAGGGTGCAGAGCAGGTGGCTAGGCAGAATTCCCTCTGTCCATAGCAAGCTAACAGACTCTGGAGGTTTCTGGGAGACTCAGAGTTTTCTCAGATGCCTTCAGTATTTATTTTGCATTTATAGGTCTCATAGAGGGAGAGTTGCCAACTCTGTGTGCCCCAAGATGTGCTAAGAGAGGTAGGGGTCAGCCTAGAAGTTTAGTATCTGCTAGAAACAGCAAAATATTAGGAAGTAATCCTCAGAGGCAAAAGGGAATTCTCACAAATTAACTTGGACAGAGCCATAATATTGGCAAATATTATGGCAGTATATTGGTAAATCTACTGTCTTGATTTTCTGAAGCTTCACTGTGTATTTTATAGATCAGTGTCCAATAGGAAAGTGAACTGCAATTTATTCATCAATAATCCTTTTTTAAAAAAGAAACTCAGATTTTTTGTGTATAAAGAATGACTAACTTTGATTTAAACTTCAAAACCTTGAAGAGATTTTAGACTTTGTTGTTATTTTTAAGGGAGTTAGGAGAAGGAATGCCCAATATAGGTGGTTTCAACCCACCCAAATGTTTTCCTCCCGTCTTACTGTAATGACAAGAATAATTAGAATTGTATGCTGATACCTTGGTTATGTTAGTATATTGACTCTCTTCATCTATTTAATGGAAAACTCTTCCTTAGTCTCCATTGTCCCATAATATAAAGACTCACTGAAGTACCAGGACCGATTTTGCTATTGTATCCTACTCTGTCAAATATAAATCATGTTGTATTTGATGAGAATAACTTTGTAGGCAAGGAATAGACTTTTTCTCTAACACATTTCTATATATTCAGTTATGCAGTATTGCTGCAAGGCATCTTGAATTCAGAAATGCTGTTGTACAGACATTTCTTACCCTATTAGTGCCCTGTTTCCAGGTGGAGACAGAGGACACACCATGTGTTCATACAGTGCCAAGGTAACAGCATGAAACATCTTTAAGGCTCTTAGGAGCAGTGATGAAACTATTCGTAGTGGCTTTTAAACTATTATTTTATAAGATTCTCTTATGCCAAAGTTAAAGAAACCTGCATTTCTAAGAAACAATAAATGTATGAGCTCAGATACTAGAATGATGTCAGATGTCAGGATCTTTAAATTTTTTTTCCTGAATCTTGATCAGTGCTTATTTGACTAATACTTATATTTTGCAATTGAAATAGTACACTGTTTTTTCAAATTTAGATTTAGAAATACCTTGGGCCACCTTGTCATAGATGGTAACTAGCCACAGCTTTTGTATGAATACATCTACTGTTAAAAAGTATCCTTTAGTAGGTAGATTATTTCACTCCTGGATGTGTTTGATCATTGTGAAGTTCTTTATCTCCTAGATTCCACTAATGACCTCCCCTTAATTACCATCCAGTCATGTTAGTTTTGACTTTGTAGTACCTCACAAAGGGCTGTAGATCTATTCCACATGTGACTCATGAGTACAGAGATTTTGTTCTTTATGTGTCAGTAAAACATCTTTTTAAACATTCCCTTGTATGTTTCCTTAGGATCTGGGATGACAGTCCCTCAACAAACTATATATTATATATATATATATATATATTTGTACCAGGAATCGAACTCAGGTCCTTGTGCTTGCGAGGCAGGTAGTGGAACCACTGAGCTAAATCCCTGGCCTTATTAATATATTTTTAAAATGTGGCAGCTATGGCATAATGCTACAGAGCAATTGTGGCCTGACCCTAATAAGATGAGGTGGGACAGATACCATCTTTGTGTAGAAACTATCCTACAGATAAAATTCTGAGAGATAATTAGCTTTTTTAAAAAGACATAGAGCATTTTTGGTTATTCAGCTTTTAGGAACCTACCAATTTTTTTTTTCACAAAGTCAAGACCAATCTGTAATTTTATATCTCTTCTCTCTCTGTTTCCTGGTTTGCTCTTTCTTCTTCTCTCTCTCTCCATCTACCCTTTTGTCTACCATTCAGCTGGCAAACATTAACATTCATATGCCAAGCATTGTTCTGGGCGGCTGAGAATTTGGTGTTGAGAAAAATAGTATTCTGATTTTCGGTAGAAGGAAATGGTGGGGTTAGTTCAATACACATAGATAGATAGATAGATAGATAGATAGATAGATAGATAGATAGATAGATCGGTGATAAATACCAGGATTAATACATATGATAGTGAATCCGAATAAGAAAATAGTGAGTAGTGATGGTCCATTAGGGATAGCCTCTTATTGTATATATGTAGTGGTCAAGAGAGGTTAATTGGATAAATTGACATTTGGGTAGGATCTAAAGAGAATCGGCCAGCAGGAGGAGGCAGTACCTGTTAAGGCCCATGATCCTGGTCAGGTGGCTAGAGCAGGGTGAATAATGGGAAGAGTAATAGGAGATGAGGTTAGAATAAAACAGGAGTGTTAAAGACCTTATAGTCTGCTCAACATCCTTTAGATTTAATTCTGGGAACACTTAGAAGCCTTTGAGTAAATCAAGTGGAATGCTGGATGTGACTTACATTGGAACTAGTCCCTCTCTAGATGCTGAACTGAGAGTACACAGAAAGAGGTAAGGATGGAAACAGGGAGCCAGACCCCTGGAGTATAGGCAGGAAGGAGGGCATTTTGGATTGGGATTGTGATGATGGAGTGTAAGCTGAGGTTGGTCTATTAGGAAGGAGGATCCTATGGGATCCTCAAGGGCTGTACGTGTTGTGTGAAAAGATAGGAGAACTTCAACTCCCCACAGTTTTGGTCTCATCCTGTTGGCTAAGACCAAGGATGAATGGTATTGAGTGAAGTTAAAAAATCAGTAAGTTGATTTTGAACATGTCAAAACTAAGATTTGATAAGGAATTGGAAATATTTTGAAAGTAAATATATGTGTATAGTAATTCTGAGAGAAGTTCATAGATAGGTCTGGATGGATATTTGGAAGTCTGTAGCATATGGATAATATTTAAAGATGTGAGACTAAATGTTATTAAAGGAATTTGTCTCCAGAGCAAAGATCTGAGCTGTAAACTCTAGACACTGCAGTTGTTGGATGATGGGTAGATGTAGAAAAGATAGGAAAAGAAGTGATGATAGGAAAGCAGTGAAGTAGGAGAAAACTAAAAGCTTCTTTTTCAACATATTTTGTTTTAAAATTTTAAAGGCATAATACCAATTTTGTCTGAAAAGCACACTGTTGTGGGAGTATAATACTGGCATTTATTCTTTAGAATATTTCTATTGATAAGTTTCTAATTTTAATTGTATGAGTTTTATTATGTTAAACAATGAGTACTTAACAGGAAAAATATAAAAAGTAAAGTACTGAAATTTCTAATTATTGAATGTTTACAAAAAGCATCAAAATTTTCAACATCAACTTTTTTTGTGTACAGAGTTTAAAAAGTAACAAATAAATACCTATATGAGCTGTAATTAAAATAGCAATAGAACTCTACAACAAAAATAATCTTTACTCCAATTATCACATGTAAGGCAGTCTTCACACATGACAACAGCACATTCCATACACGTGTATTGCTTACACTGACAGAGCATGTATTTTGCTTTCCTGGCTTTTTGTAGGACATACTTGACATCTCGTTGGTCTTTCTGTTATTAAGAGGTGCTTATTATATTATACAGTGTGCGGTTAACAGGAACATAAAGTACTAAATTCTTAACATGTATTATGTGTTTAGGAATAAACATCAGTATTTTTACACCAGCTGTGTACTTGCTTACAAAACCTAAAATATAATATCAGAAACAAATTCCTATATGAATTATAGTGAAAATACCAATGGAACTCTACAACAAAAAATAATCTTTACTTCAATTGTCACACGCAAGGCAGTCTTCACACATGACAGCTGCCTGTTCCATGCACATATCTCACTTACACTGACAGCACATGTGCTTAGCTTTCCTTTCTTGTGTGGCAGACCATTCCTGTCACCTCTCTTGTCTTTCTGTTTTGTCAGGAGCTTCCTACTATATTGTACAATGTGTACTTAGCAGGAAAATAAGATATTAATAAAATAAAATATCAAATATGTAATGAGTGGGCCGGGGATTTAGCTCAGTGGTTCTGATGCCTGCCTT